GACCACATAATGAGAAGAGACATTGGAGAACATCGTGACAACTAGAAAAAAAAAATTGAAAAAAGGTGTGGAGGCAGACCAAGAGAGATGATGCTAGATGGGCTGAAACAATAGCATAGAGGGATATACTCAAGAGAACCAGGGATCAGGCAACCAGGGATCGTGATCAGCGGAGACGCATGAGCGCCTACGCCAGTTGGCTGGGCACATGATGATGATATGTGTGCAAGGGCAGGTAACACAACGAAAGAAAGTGAGCACATTGAAGTAAACATAATTTGAACATACAATGCTGAAAGGTCGTTAACTTTGAGATAAGTTGATCAAACACGATCGATCGTAAGCTTTGAATCAATCCGTGCAGAGGTCCTAATCCCCTTATTCTCCAGCTGGGACTAATTCAATCTTCGAAGTATTTAGATGAGAGGAAACCACCTCTTCCATTCTTTCTCACTTCTTCCAGTTAGGTCATCGAAGCGTTAGGGGAGGAAGTAAGTATCTTCTGTGTTGTCTGTCTAAAGAGTCGTATAAGTTGGTCTTTATTTTTTTCTAAACTGTTCTTGATACCGTCGTACAATCTTCTTTGAAGTCTTCCTCCTGCTATTCTTCTTCTTCTTCATTTTTTACTTTCTCCCTGCCAATGAAACAAGAACTCTCAGATAAACCATGCCGTGTCATCCGCAACCTGCTTACTTAGTGTCCTCTTTGTCTTTTACTCTCAATGTTTCCACTCAATTCAGCAGTACTGATCTGACATAAGAATTAACTAATGGCATCGTCAGTCCCAAGGAACTATGGAGATGTGCCTCTGGCTTTGGGAACAGCTTCTTCTGTGAATATAAGTCGAAAAAGCATCACTCTCCTGGGCACAGGCCTGGACATTTTGATTTGGAGTACAGACTTTTGCCCAGGCAGCAGGCACCCTTCTCTACGTCGCCTGTGATACCAAAGGGGTAAGAATGTAAAGTTTACTCCACTAGGTCATCACACAGAGCGATATACACCCGGTGACACAAAGTGCCACCATGCGGATGAGGATCACCAGTGGTGAGGTCTCAGAAACTGCGCTCAACCATCAGGCTGTATTGCGACCCCCAGCAAAAGTCATAGTGGGGCTTCCAAACATCGAAAAATTGCCTCCCACATGGAGACGACGTGGTTATTTTTCATATACCGAGGGAAAGGCAGAAGCCAATACCACCTGTCACTGAGAACGTTGCAGTAACAGCCGGAAAAGCACTGTAAACAATGCCAAACCGCCTTCAGGATTCCAGCTGCGGATTTTCCCTTAGGTTTACTACCGAAGCGCTTTTCCAAGGTAGCGTATGGCCACAAGGGTTATAACTTCCTTTTCTTTTTTACTTTCACAGATCCCCTGCTATGAAAACTCCTTTTGGGTTTATTGTCATATTTTAATATCACGTTCAGTTTTCCCATCTGTATCTACATTACTGCCCAGGTGAGTGTATGACTGCACATCTTCCAGTGGGATATTATTAAGAGAAATTAAATTACTGTGTTGCTTGGTTTATTCTCATTATCATTGTCTTTACCCTATTGATTTTAAGACGTATATTTAATTGATCTTTCATCTGACTCCTTTAGTGGGATAGAAGAAAAATATCATCAGCGAAGTCTAGATCATTAAAGTGTTTTGTAGGGTCTATTGAATTCCATTCCTGGTGGTAGCTGATGCTGTTCATTATCCAGTCTATTGTTAGAAGAAAGTAATATTTAAAAAAAAAAAAAAAAGACACATCCCTGTCGAACACTTGTTTTTTAATTTTAAATGTATCTGTTACTGTTTCCTCACGAAGAATTCAATATTTCATGTCTTCACTAAATTATTAGTTGTCTGTGAGATCCCATTAGGGCTAATCAATTTCCGGAAAGATACGTTGTCAGTACTGTCGAAGCCTTTTTTTTTCAGTCTACGAATCCAATGTAAAGTGGTGAATTCGGTTCAACGCTTTGATCTGTTATTATGCGCAGTGTGGCTATCTGGTTGTTACAGAAACATTCGAGCCACACACCTGCATGTTCACCCCTTAGTTGTTTATATATGGCATCTTTTAGTCCTTCCAAGAAAAATCATACGTAATATTTATTTCCAACAACTGACAACATACTTCCTGTATAATTTTCACTCATGCAGATCACCGTTTTTTTTGGGCTGTTTCACAAGATCTCCTTCTTTTATTCTTCTCTTCAATCTTTTGGTATTTCTTCGGCCTCTTAGACTGAATAACTGGTGTAGCAATTCCATAGACGTGTTTATATTGTTACTAATATATTGGTCTTAAAAACTTCTCCTGAAATGCCATCTTCTCTTCCTTCAGTAGACTGAAAGCAGATTGATTGCTCTCCTCATTTTCTTTTTAGATGGCATCTTACAGTTGACATCCAGTTCAATTTCTGAGAGTTTGGATTTCAAATGCAGTGTGGTATGGCTGCATTTTCATTAAATGTTCAAACTATTTCATTCTTTCTCTGTCAATATAATTCAGACATGGTCTTATCCCAACTTTCTCCCAAATAATGGTATTGGTAACCTTCTGGTGTTATTAGTGACCTTAATGAGACATCGTATTTCAAAGGTAATTTTCTGCACTATTCATTGGGTTATATTTCCTTCTCCCTGTGTTGTAGCAGCCAATTATACCACTGCCTGCTTGCTAGGCCTGTCGCGTGGCGGAGAGAAAAAAAAAGTTTGTGCCTATCTCCTCAAAGGCGAGCCATCAACACCTTAGCCTGAAACCTCACAGCTTCAGTTTTCCAGCGTGTGCCACTATGAAATGTGGTTGAGGCAGGGCTGCAAACTTAAAATTGAGAAAATCGGCCAAATACTTGTCAGAAAAGGCTAAAATAACGACTGAAGGAAATGCATTGCTACTTCCAGTTCACATTGTAAGAAAAACTTCAAGATCATCAAGAAAGTCTCCACTGACACGAGAATCACACAGTTTATCAATAGACATATTCTCAACACACATCACCTACGGGATGCAATGCATTCTATGCAGTATTTGGTGAATAAGTGCAGTTCTATTCATAATCTCACTACCGCCTCCAGAAGCTGTTCAATTTCCAGCTTTTGTTTTGACTTATGATACATTAGATAATACGCTCCCAATAAAAGCAATACTAACTGGAGTTTTTGAAGAAGCCAGAGCAAAGGTGACAAGCTCTTTCAATGACTCGTTTTGAAAAAGACGAATCTAAAACTTTTCAATATCTATTTGAAATCCATTTAGGGGTCCTTAACATTACTACTAACTTGATAAAACAGTTCTTTCGGACTCTCACACTCCTTTCCACAACAGTGCAAAGCGGCTTGCTACTAAACTGCCTTCAGCTGAATAGAAAAAAGTATATTGGAATTAAGGACATTCGTTTACAGCCATAAACCACAGTCGGCGTCAATATATTCTTTATAAGTTTGATATTTGTGTTGCATTTACTGTAGTTCGTTGGTTTAAGGTTTGAACTACATATCAACATCATGGCACACGGGTGGCAACCCATAACTGCTCCATTCTTCTTCTAATCCTGAGTCCAAAGAAGCTCAGAACAGTGCACAGGCTCTGTAGCACCGGCGAGGATCCTGAATACTTTAGGTAGATTTTAAACTCCAAATTTTGCTTGGCAGCGACTTTAGGCTACTCTTTTCGATTTCCAACTGCCAAAGGAATTTGTACGTGCGCAACAATGCACAAGGGCGTCTGATCTAGCTACCCAGAGGCCAGGGTGAATTACTAGAAGTCGAAGTCAAGCGGAATGCTGGAAAATGACCAAAATGGATGTACACAAGCTGTCCACCTTCCACCACACATGTCTACGTAGAATTATCAAAATTTTCTGGCCAGAAACAATCTCAAACACTAAACTACTTTAAGTCACAAACCAAGAAACCCTAGACAGTATTATAACCAAGAGAAGATGGAAATGGCTTGACCACGTTTTGAGAATGAATCCTGATTTACCTGCCAAAAACAGCTCTCATATGGATACAAGAGGGAAAGAGAAAAAAATGGGCGCCCAAAAACAACATGGAGACGAACGATGGAAAGTGACCTGAGTGTGGCATCTTTGACATAGAAAACTGCATTGAAGATTGCACAGGACAGGAAAGCATGGAAAGTCCTCTCTGAAGCCTCATGTGCCACTAGGTATAACGAGAACTGATGATGATGATAAAGTCAAGGTGAAAAAAAACCCAGGTCTTACGGGGATTAAACCTGGAACCTCTAGCCCTCGAGGCGAACACCTTGCCTAGAGACCACGCAGCCTCCTGAAAAAAAAGCTCTAGGTTAGAGTGGCTACTGTTTGCATCCAGAAGAGGTTAAATTATAACTCTATCAATCGTAAGTTAAATGAACAATTTGGATAGTGTGATCTTACAAATATCTCCGACTGGAGCGAGACAGAAAGTGAGACTGTCTTTTATCCTCATCCTCCCGTACCCCTGTGTGTCGTTGAAAGTAAGATTGCCTTCCGGCTAATCAAACAATGTATGGTGGGTTGTAAAGTACATAAATTAATTAAATCCGAATTGCCTAACCTAGCACCCAAAAAATCAAAGCAGACCAGACATATAAGTAATTAAAAAAATTAATTAATTTTTTTTTTCAGAGAGAGAAACATTAACCTAACACTTTTGTATTTCTGTTACAGGTGAAAGAAATACAACACAGAGACCATGAGTTTACGTGCGTTGAAAAAGCAGATAACAGGTAACGTTATCAAGGCTGTCCTGTTGATCAGTTTGGTCTGTTTCCTATCGTTGACCCTACAAGGCCTGTTAACATGGCAGTCATTGCCTTCCCACAGCTACACAAAGAGAACAGACAATTCTGTATTCTTGTACCTCAACCGCATAATGACATTTAGTACAGTCGCACCAGGGAACATTACAATGAACTATTTGGCGCTCAAGAAGATTGAGCAGATGACAAAGGAATTGAATGATTCGGTACTGGTCAACGAAACAATGTTTCCAGCTAAAAGAATTGGTAAATACCTTCTGTTAGACCCGGACCTTTGCAAATCAGTTGATAGGGTTGATATCATAATAATTGTGCATACGGCACCACAAAATCTGGACAAAAGACAACGGATCAGAGACAGTTTTGCCAAAGCCTCACTCTTTCGTCCATTCGACATTCGTGTTGCATTTCTATTGGGAAAAACGCCAAACAAAACGCTGGAACGAGTCTTATGGATGGAGCATGCCAGATACAACGATACGGTCATGGGAGACTTCATCGACGATTACCACAATCTCTCGCTTAAAAGGCGTCATGGGATTCCGATGGGTCAGCGAGTATTGTCCGAATTCAGAATTCGTGTTAAAAATAGACGATGACATTTTAGTGAATATGTTTAAACTTCTATATTCGTTTCTAAGCCACATGTCAGGGAAAAGGAAGTCAATATTTTGTAATCTATGGCATAGCGGAAGTATGCCTATTCTTAGAAAGGGAAAGTGGAAAGTGGCATCTCATGTGTTTTCGTCAAGGACTGCATTCCCGTACGACTATTGTAGTGGGTTCCTAGTTCTAATGACCACTGATTTGATGAAGCCGATGTACGAGGCAGCACTGACGACCCCTTTCTTTTGGATTGACGATGTTTACTTATTTGGTATGCTCCCATTGGTTGTTGGTGACGTCATGTATTACAACTACGAACTGCATAGATATCTGTCTGTGAACGAAGGGAAAGCCATGAATTGTACACAGGAGCTAGGACCCCGATGTCCTATCTTTGCCACTTTAATAGAAAATGACTTTTGGCCCTACTGGGACACCATCAAAGGGTTATACACATCCGACGACTGGCATTTGCAGCAGAGGTTTATTCATTGATCTTTTTTTTGAACTGTTGCTGAAAATCTTGTAGCGACCATTTTAGTGACGTCTTATCCACACACTGTTCTTATTTCTAATCTCCGATAATCCATTCAGATGGGGACAGATCTGAAGCACCCTTTGTATCACATGCTCTTCAAGAAAAAGGTTAATAGGCTTAAAAGGGGCAAATCATGGTTGGGTAGGGCAGAGGAAGACATCATGCAGGTTTGCTGCCCTACAGACATTCATCCAGGTGAGGAGTGGATACCAGAGTTTGATGCCCCCAATCTCACATTCTCCTGTGTCGTGACGCTCAGTTGTTGGGAGCAGAATCCAGCTGTTGTAAGTACCAGTGACAAGTCAGATGAGACAGATGTGGCGATCTTCACAGACGGGTCCGTTATACGAGGACATAAGAGTGCATGGGCATTTACAGCTCGCTCTTCCGGCAGAACAGTTAAGGAAGCCAGCGGTGCTTTCTCCATGACCACCAGCAGCATGAGGATGGAGGTGATGGCGGTGACACAGGCATTCATGTGGCTGGGATCACAGGACTATTCCAGCGTGTGTGTGTGCTGAGTGATTCTTTGAGTATGATCCGGCTGGTCAAGGCAGGCTGGTTACGCAGACAGTGGCTTGAGTCATTGCAAAATTCTCCTGGGTGTGCAGTTACTTTCATATTCGTCCCACGAAATGCAGGCGTTGTTGGTAATGAGAGAGCTGATAGACTGGCAGGCACTGCATTAATTGAAAATGGCCGGCCCATGGATCACGCAGACATTGACATTGCCCTTAGAGAGATAGGACGTTCTGGGGATTTTGGAAGCAACATGTCCACATCACTTCTAAGAATACGCGAATTGGAAGTAAAGATCGGCACAGCCAAGCATGAGAAGCACACTGGATGCACACGAAGTCTTGTTAACCAACATAGGACTGGTACTATTAACCGCACGACGCTGATAAATATGTTGAGAGGGGAATCTGAGCGCCTATGGATGTGTCCGGAATGATGTGAAGATAATCTAACTCATAACTCAGATGGGGACAAGAAAGTAGAATACAGTTTCTGGACATTTTGGTTTAATTGTCTGTGTCTATGAAGGTTTTAGCTGGCCATCATGAAAGAGGTTGCCTTCGTTTCTTTGGACTTCCTGTCACCTTCTTTAGGTTAAACACACACACACAACACGCCCACACACACACACATACACACGGAGGCAGACAGACAGAAATAAAGTGTTTGTTTGTGCATTCACAGTTGCTAATGAAAACTCCGTAACCTATATGATTGAGTGAGTGTCAGGGGGTCATTTACTAACTAGACTGCACAAAGTCAAAAAGTAAGAATGCAGACACTAAGGGATAGATGAAAACAAGAATACTGACACAAAATATGGAGGGTTTTTTGCGGCCTCTTTAGGAAACGATAACCATAACAACGGATCAGTTAAATCCTTGCTCCACATAAACACACATTCACACACGCTCAAAATACACAGAGCGAGAGAGAGAGAGAGAGAGAGAGAGAGAGAGAGAGAGCTACTGAGAGAGAAAGACAGAGAGAGAGAGAGAGAGAGAGCTTTGCTCTATCTATACGCATTAGTACAGAGTAGTTTAGCTTATTTGCAGTACGTGATTCCCAATTACATAAGTACATAAACACACTGTTGAATTTTTGCACCATCATTAGCGTTTCCTTCCGGATCCCTTATCGACCCATTATAAGCTTTTATTATGTTTGAAATTGTTGGTTTGTTAGTTTGTGTGGATAGCCGTTTGCGATCGATGTTTATTATACTCCCCAATATGCTATAATGCTGACTCTTCAATCAAATGAAAGAAGAAGAAGAAGTGATGGAGGACTGCCACTTTATTCAAGTGGATGATGGACTGAGTGCCTCAAGGTTTGATATCACCCCAGACGTGCCCCAGGGAGATATCTGCACACCAACACAACTCATGTTATCCACTATGTACGTACACATGTGATTGCAATTTACATACACATAATATCAATGTGTCCATGTTGTCCTGGGTTGGCTTCTGTCAATCACATGTCCTCTAGAGATTTCTACAAACTTCATTTACATGTCCTACACTGTGTACCCATCCTCGAGAAAGCTTGGGTGTATGTGACCTGCTGGTCCATGAACTCAGACTGGAGTGATTTGTGGCCAGACTGTATACATAATAATTGATGGCTGTGATACGGCGTATACTGATAAAATAATTAATGTCTCTGGGCACGATCTTGGCTTGTAGGTTAATGGATCATCACACAGCTGAGTTTACTATAGACAGAAACACTTTAAGAAGAAACACATTAGTCTACCTCATCAGCTTGATGAATAATTTCAATGGTTTGTGTTGCAGTTTACGATATTACATTTTCAAGGGTAATTTATGTAATCATTATGCAACAGTCTTTTCTGTTAGACTTTATTACTTTCACTTTAAAGGCATGTATGCAAATGTGGGACAGACTTCCGATTTTAGGTTATTTTCTTGAATGCTGTCGAAATCACTGTTTGCTCATACTCGCATTGTGGATGACAATGTAGTATAGCGCACATACATTTCAAGCAACCAATGCACCAGCAGCTTGTATGTCTCTCTCTTTCTCTCTCTCTCTCTCTCTCTCTCTGTGTGTGTGTGTGTGTGTGTATACATACATCATACATACATACATATATTTAGATATACTCAAAAATATATAGATGTTGTTTCAGACATATAGCATGTTTAAAAAATACACTATAGATTGACTATAGATTTCAGGAGTTGACCATCCCCATTTTCGGTTAAATTTTATTCATATGTTTGATCTCAGAGTGTGGCACCTTCGGACAGGAGCCCTTAGTCAGTCAGTCAGTCAGTCAGTCATTCAGTCAAGCACGAAGTTTTATTTGTGAGTGTTTGATTCATATATGGACCGTAATGTTGTACATACTGATACATTTGTTGCAGGTACGCTAGTAATTAGTCAGTGTTGTTGACATACGGTTTCAGGATTGGCTGTCTCGATTTATAACACGTAAAAGACCAAATCATGGAAGCCAAAAATAAAACTCAAAGATCTGATGGTGAGGCCCCCATGCCAGGCAGATCACAAACGTGAACTGAGGAAGAGAACGATGGCAGAGCAAGTAAGGGTAGTTGTGAAAAAAGACAGTCTATATCCCTCTCCCAAAGAAAGGAAATCTAAAACTATGCTCCAACTACCGTACCATCATCGCATAATTAAGTCATGCTAGCAAAAATCTCCTACGAAATACCATGAAGAGGATTGAAAGGAAATTACAATATGAGCATTCATGAAGCACAAGCTGGTTTCAAACAGTGTAGAGGAACTAGGGATCACATCTTTAATTAAGAATAATTTTTGAAAAATGCAGAGAATACAACGTAGATCTTCATGCTTGTTTTATTGATTAAAGCAAGGCATTTGATTGTGTCCAACCCCACAAACTGTGGACTATAATGAAAAGTATGGGGTTTCCAGCGCATTTAGTGCATTTAATTGAAAATCTCTGTCATGAACAACAAGCAGCCATCAGAGCAGTTGGTGAAACATCTGACTGGTTCGAGGTGCAAAAGGGCGTGAGGCAAGAGTGCATTCTCTCACCATACCTATTCAAAATATAATGAGAAATGTCAAAAATGATCAGACTTGTGACAGTTATGATCCGCTCAAAATTAGTGGCAACCCTATTCTGGAACTCCGCTACGCAGATGACACAGTCCTGCTTTCGAACAGCGAAAAGGGAATTGAAAATTTTTTATTGTCTGTCCAAAAGCACAGTGCAGATCAAAATCTTTTCTTGAATTTACAGAAAACGAAAATTATGTCAACAGATAAAACTGGCTGTCACCCAAAATTAACAATAAATGATGAAGAAATTAAAAATGTCACAAACTTTGAATATCTAGGCTCTATAATAAACAACAATGGAGTCTGTTCGACAGAAATTAAAAAGAGGATGGCCATAGCAATGCAAAGATTGAACAGCCTTAAAAGTCTATGGTTAAACACCAGCAAGGAGATAAAAATTAGAATTTTGAGAGCATGCATCTTCACTGTGGCTACATACGGATGTGAGTCGTGGACTATCTCTCAATCCTTAAGAAAGAGAATAGGGGCTTTTGAGCTGAAATGCTATAGAAAGATTCTCAGAATATCTTGGACAAAGAAGATGAGAAATATTGACATCTTAAAAGATCTGAACATCAAGGAAAATTGGCTAATAAACAGCATACTTTCTCGAAAGCTGAAATATTTTGGTCATATCAAGCGCCCTGACGGATTGGAAAAAATCATAGCAGAAGGCATGGTACCAGGAAGAAGGGGCGGGGGCCGACCGACACGAAGATGGATAAAAGTGACTCCTTGAGTGTGAAAGTTCATGAGGCGGAAGAACTGGCGAGAGACCGAGTTTCTTTCAGGCAGACTGTGATGAGAGCGACGTTCTGCAAAGGACCTGCTACAGGATGAAAAATACTAAAGAGTAAGCTTTTATTACTTATCTTGAATATACTAACCAATTCACTAAAAATATACAAAATAATTTATCATGATGTTTATTGGAAATATTTAATTTAATAGTGACGCGTTTTATCAAATTTAAATTGTATGTATATCTTAACACACAGACAACACACTTACACGCATATAACACGCACACACACACACACGCACACACAGGCAGACCGACTGAAATAATGTTATTGTTGGTAATAGTAAAATTACTCTGCTCATTTAAACAGTGTTACATACTAGCTCACTTCTGACTAGTCGACCTTCAGCCTAGCTCACTTCTCATTGGTCGACCTTGAGCCACGCCTTACGGGGGTGTTGTATATTTTAGCATGCCAGTGCTTTTAACACACCAAAAACATCAACAAACTGGGTCTAACACAAAACCCCTTTAGAGAGTGATGAAACCTATGTCACATGCATTCTCTTTCTCATAAAAAAACGTAAATGCAAGACAATCCAGAAAGCAAATAACAGA